GGCACAGTGCACCAGGGAGGCCTCCCCAGTGTCAACCGAAGCAGGAGAGTCGCTTCCTTTGACTTGCAGGTGACGCTTCTGCCACGACGTTCCCAGATGCTATGGGCTTGTTTTGCAGCAAGAGTGTGTGGCTGTCTTGGATTCAGTTTGTGTCCACTGTAACCCGCCCTCTTCTGCAGACAGGAGTGAACCCTTGTCTCCATGTCCCTCCTGCCCTCTGATCTTAGCTGGGCAGCCTCCTGCTTGCCACTGTCCCTCTTTTAATGTGGTCTCCAGAAAAGTGACTGAGCTGTTCAGGATAGGGCCTGCCCTCTCCCTCCTCTGGCTGCACTTCTCTGGGTCTCAGCTGTGTTGTGTTGTCCCTTGACCTCCATCTGATTTGCTCTTTTCCTCCGACTCTCCCTTACTTTCCTCAGTCCGGTTCTTTGTACTTCCCTGGGGCCTTTCTCTAGGGATCGTGTCCACTGGCAGCAGAAAGCAGCCACTTCTGGGGTGGGAGGCAGCAAGCGTTTAACAGCTCGTAGCAGTGCCGCTGCTCCTCCGTCCTCCCATGTGTCAAATCTGTGAGGGTCTGGCTGTGAAGAGCAGCCGCTGGTGCTCCCGCAGCCCCTGGTGCTGCTGGCACATAGCAGGGAAGCTGAAGAATTGCCGCTGGAAGGGGTGGGGGCGATTCTGGGGGTGTGGTTGCTTGTCAGAGTTGGGAAGGGAGCGAGCCTGCAGCACCTTGCAGCTGGGGTTGTGAGGCCTAAGGGCACCTGGGGTGGGGCGGTGAAATATACAGAGCGCAACTGCCCGTGTGTCACTGTGTGATTGTTTGGGGGTGTTTGCAGCCTGCAGGGACTGGCGAGGAGGCCATGGTTGGTGTCATCCGCTCCTATGATGACCTGAGCCGCAAGCTGTGGAAGCTGGAGGGGCTGCCGCTGACGGTGACAGCCGTGCAGGGCACGCACCCGGCGCTGCGGTACACTGACGTGAGTCTGAGGGGTACCAGGAAGGCCTTGGGCCCATGGCAGGGTTGCAGGGGAGGGCAGCTCTTTGGGGTAGGGGAGTGAGCTTGAGACTATGGTTTCCTCAGGGCTTGTTAACTGCAGTGCTGCTCACAGGCCCCGAGTGTTGGGAAGACTCTGTCATGATAAGGCCAGGCCCTGTCCTAGTGAGCTTCCAGCTTGCTGCTTGGCCCAAGTGCTTGCTTTTGGGCATATGAGGCACTTCAGGGCTGGGATCTCCTCTGTGCTGTGGGATGTGCCCTGCTGTGTCCCCAGCTCTGTCTGCAGGTGGCAGGCTGTGCTCTAGGCTGGCCCACAGGCACTGCATCCCACCCTGCTGCCTGCCATCCCCTCCAGTAACCCCCTGCCCACTGGTGTCCTAGGTCTTCCCTCCAGCCCCCATGAAACCGGATTATTCATACCACGAGAGGAGCAAGGAGAAGGAGTCACTACTTCCCCTGGCAGATAAACCCTGCCCAGCGTACATCCCGCCCATGAAAGGTAAAGGGGAGGTTGAGGAGGCAGCAAGTAGGGTGCATGAGCTGGGGAAGCTGAGGCACGGGAAGGCAATGACTTATGCATCTTGATACAGGGATCATGTCAGGAGTCCTGGCTCCCAGTCCTGTGCTTGGTCCATAAAGTTCTTCCTGGTCTGATGCCCCCTTTTGGTATCTTCTTGCTGCCCTGTGTTTTTCCCCTCAGTTATCTGCCACATGGAGGGGAGCGGCCAATGGCCTCAGGACAAGGAAGCCATCAAGCGTATCAAAGCTGCCTTCCACCTCCAGCTGGCTGAACTCCTGAGCCAGCAGCACCATTTCCTCTGCAGGCCTGCGGCCTCCTACACCGATGTGTACAAGGTACAGAGAAGGGCCCTGGCAGGAGGGCAGCAGGGGTTCTGTGTCAGCAGCCTGTTCTTGGGAGTCCAGGAGAGGGAAGGGATGGTTGTAGGGTGGCAACAGCAGCGGGCAGTGCCAGGCAGCCAATTTGGGTCCCTGGCTGGCAGAGGAGAGCTCCCAGCTCCTCTTTACGGTGAGGCCAGTTTGGTGCCTTTGGGGTGCAGCATGGTTTCTGCCTCGGAGGGTGTCTCTGGGCTCAGGCCTGGCAAGAGACAAGGCCATACCTTGTCTTTGTTGCCCTGGTTCTCTGAGCTCCTGCCCTCCATCCCTGGCTCACTCTTCCCCTGAATTTTCTGTCCCTGTCTCAGGATGGTTATGTTTTCCGTCTCCAAGTGGCCTATCACCGGGAGCCCCAGATCCTGAAGGAGGTGGTGACCCCAGAGGGGATGCTGAAGTACCGGGATACGGAGGAATCTCAGCAGTTGGAGCTGGAGACCCTGCACCTGCCCTATCTGACCAGCTGTCTGCATGGGTAAGGAAAGGGAGAAGTGTCTTGTGGCCAGGGGCCAGGCCTCCAGCTGTAAAGGCCAGGGAGAGCTCTTGGTGGTGCTCTGGGGAGAGGGTTGCACTGTGGGTAGGAAACTGCTCTTCCAGCTTTCTCTTATGGGTCACAGAAGGAGAGAGCTATGAGTGGTGTTATGGGGGAAGGCAATGCACTGTGGGTCCTGTACTCCTCACAGGTAAGGAAGGAGGGAAGAGTCGTGAGAAGGATGGAGGAAGGAGTGGGGGGTGCATTATGAGTCATCTGGGTAGGAAAGGGGGAGCAGCACTGGGAAGAGAAGAGGGCATTGTGGGTTGGGAAACCCTCCTTCTGCCCTTGGCACAGGTATGAACCTGGCAGAGCCCTCAAATGAGGGTGGGGGAGAGGTACGTTGTGAGTAGGGACCCAGCTAGCAGCCTCTGAGGCCCCTTCCCCTCCAGTGCAGACGAGAGCAGAGTCATGGCGTCCCAAGTAATGGCTGGTGCAGCGATGAGGTGAAAGGGCAAGTGTGCTGCAGCGTTTTCTCCTTCCCTGTCCGAACAGCCCTGAGCCCATACAGCGCTGGCTGCATTCGTTCTGCAGACAGCCCGTCCACTTGCAGTGCGTGGCCCAGTGCCCAGGGATATCGGGGCAGTCCCTGCCATGGGCTTGACTTGTAACGGCTGCTGCTTCCCTTCTTCCTTCCTCTCAGGCTGCAGCAGCAGCACCCCGCCTTCAGCGGCACCTGCCGGCTCGCCAAGCGCTGGATCAGCGCCCAGATGCTGAGCGACGGCTTCTCAGAGGAGTGCATGGACCTGCTTGTGGCCTTCCTCTTCCTCCACCCCGCACCCTTCACACCGCCCAGGTGAGCCCCAGGAATGGCAGTCTTGTGGCCTCCGTCTTGGGTACGTTTCCTCAGGAGGAGCAGGGGGTGGACAGGTGACTGCCTGGTTCAGCGTTTGGGGACTTCTCGTTATCAGGCCACTGGTTTGACCCTGACTCATGTCAGCCACTGAAATGGTCCCCCCAGGGCCACAATCAACGTGCAATGAATTCAGGCCAGGCTGGTTCCCAGGGATTTTCCCTCAACTGATGGTCTGTTACCTAGATTGCAGGTAACCTTGTGGGTTGGCTACTGATAAAAGAGGCAGAAACAGGTCAATAGCTTGACTTTTTATTTGCTTGCACTTCAGAGGACAAAACCAGATATTTATCCCGAAGTCTGGCTGCCTGTGACCGCACAACACAGAATCTCACCTTTACTGGCTGGGCAGACTGGAGAGGCAGGCAACATGCAGACTGGCAGCAAGTCTTGAACTTGCTGAGTTCTCCAAATTTCTCTCCAGCTGATACCCTATATTTGTAGGTGGCTGGTTCTGATATTCTAATAAATGACCTTTGCTTGGTTTTATTTAGATGTCTTTTGTTTCACTGAAACTTTTGGAAGTGGATTAAACTTGGAAGGTGTCAATTAGCTGGGATTTATATCCTTGGGAAAGTAAAAGGGAGGGTTTCTTATCTTCTCCCCCACCCCCCCATCCTGGAATGCTGTTCAGTACTGTTCTGTTTCTTCTTTACCTTAGTTTATGGTCTTCTCCGACAAGGCTGTTTTGTTTTTTCAAGTTATCTAAGTATCTTTACAAAAATACAGCTATTACAGCAAAATAGCATCTAATACATTCCATTACATCAATTGCTACTACTAAAATTTTAAGGTAGAACTATAATGTGGCATATTTGGATGATTTAATGTATAGTCTTTCCTTATAATGTCTCCTTTCAGGCCTTGTGCTTTGTTTAATTGTCTCTCATTACTAGTTTACTTAGGCATGTAGATGGCTTCCTTTACTTTGCTGTCCAAGCTAGTTGTCACATCTGCAACGGTTCATGCTGTGGTCACTCAGAAACAGGCTTTGGGGTCTTCTGCTTAGCCACACTTCTGCAGCTTAGCCTAGGCCCCTTGTAAATGGCCAAAGATGGCAACAGGCCTTGGCAGCATGGTTGGGTATCAGACATGGGCTCCTCACAGCCTAACTGTAGAAACTAGATCAAAACTGAGTGAGTATAAAATACTGTGTGTGGGAGAGGGTCGGGGGTCTGGAATCCAGCCCCTGGTCTCATCTGGCGCTTCTCAAACTCTATTGGCCAACAGACCACCCTGCTATAGATGCTTAATTGGTGACTTGCTGTGCCCCACACACCATGGCCCAGCTTGTGGACTGGGGTTTGGGAATCCAAAGCAAATGCTGATTGATAGCTGTTGTGGGCAGGAGTTGGGGAAAGGCTAGGTTGGGCCAGTCAGCTAGTGAGGAAGTGTCATCCCAACACAGGTTGGGGGAGAATAGGGGTCCGTAGGGCTCAGGTTTTTTTTCTCCCTCTTAGCTGCGTGGGCAGGGCAGGCTGGTGTGAAAGCCAGTGGCGGAGAAGCTTGGACTGCCATCCGGTGGGCTCCAGGCTTGCTAAGCATCCAGCTCCTGCTTCTGTTTCTTGGTCCATATGTGTGGTGCCCAGGGCTGGGGTGCTCATCTCCATGGACCAGGCAGCTTGTGCTGGAGGAGGTGGCAGTGATCTCTTCAGGAGTCCTGGCCGTGTCCCTGGGGCTGTGACCAGAGCATGTCCAGAGAGGGCTGGTGCTGACAGGAGGCCTCTGGGTGAGGCTGGAGAGATGTTGCTGTCCCCAGCTATCAACACCACTTCCGGCAATGGATAATATGCTGCTTGTGTCGCTCTGGCATCAAATGGGGACCACTGTGGGGAAAGCAGAAGGGCCAGGGGCTGTGGGAGCAAGCCCTGGTCCATGGGAGATAGGGGACCTGTCCCAGGCCAGGGGTGGGGGAAAGTGTCATGCTGAGGGGCAATGGGAATAAGCATCCCCCATCCATGGTACCGACCATCTCTCTGAGGTTTAACTGCATGCTGCTTGCTCCCGGGCCCTGTGAGCACTAGGCGCTGTCTTCCTGTATGGGACCCCTCTGAGCTTTTAGACACAGACTCACCCACCATGTGAGGCCCAAGGCTGCTCCACTATCTCCTGTGTCTTTACGACTCCTGCAACACTTCACCAGCATTCATTAAGCAGTTCAGCTGCTTTGTGATGCAGGCGTGTGTTGGCCCCCATTGCACAGCTTGGGAGACAGAGGCCCTGAGTGGTTAAGTGACTTGCTCTCTCTGGTGACTTGCTTGCTAGCCAGTAGCAGAGGCAGGTAAAGAGCCCAGGAGTCCTGTCTCCAGTCCTTCCCCTTGTTCTAGATAAGCTGCCTCTGGGGGAGAGGCGCAGACACAGGAGATGGGAAGGAGATGAGGGAAGTTGTTTTGCCCTGACACCGTGTTAAGCTACAGGAGTGATGAGAGGGGCCAGTTTTACTTGACCTGAAAGTGGGTCCTTGAAGAGATCAAAATCTGCCAGGGGGGAGACTCTTTCCTAGCCCCCCATCAGCTTTAGCACATCTGCTCACGGTACCTGTTTGTGGCCTGGCTCATGGACCACGCTGCCCCGGACGCCCTGTCTCTGCGGGGTGTGGGGATGTGTGTACGTTCTCTCTCGGTCCTCACAGCTGCAGTCTCTCTCCCCCACAGCTGCCCTCAGGTGGGCTTCCTTCGCTTCCTCCACCTGCTGACCACCTTCGACTGGAAGAATGCCCCGCTCATCGTGAACTTGAACTCGGAGCTTAAAGGTGAGCTGGGGGCCATGGGAGGTCTCTTGCAGTGCTGGGGAGTGATCTCCTGCTGCCCTGAGCCCGAGAGGCAAGTGGCAGGACCCCCTGAGGGGGCTACAGTGGGATTAACCCAGGGTGCTCATTGGGTGATGCTGATGGGGGGTTTGGAGCCTTTCTTCACAAGGCCATGGGTTTCACTCTGACCCAGGACACTCAGCTCCCTTGGTCAGCTTGGGGCCTTGTTAGGCCAGTGAAAACCAGTACTCTGCAAGTCTCTGGACAATGCTGGAGTGTGCGTGTGTTGGAGGGGAAACTGGAAGGTAAAACAAAGGCTGGCTCTGCTCAGTCACTGCTCCCAGGCGTCGGAGACCCCTCGGGTTGGGGGCGTCCTCCTCAGCGGGGGACCTGAGCTGCAGGCTTTCCACGGGGCTCAAAGCAGGGGGATTAGCCGCTGGTTTCTTGCTTTGTTTTCCCCTCGCAGGCTTTAACATCCTAATCTCCCAGGTGTCCCGGGGACGGAGGAACTTGGCCTTGTTTATTTCTTGGCACGTTTCCTCCTCTCTGATCCTGGTTAAAGCTCTGGTTTCCTCGCATCAAGCAGAGTTTGCCAAGCTGTTGGCTCTTGCTTGTGCATCTCGCAGCATGTTTGCTGTCTCTGTGCCCTGGGCTCTTTGTACAGGCGTGAGGGGACAGGTCTCTGAATGGGGTGTGCTTCTCAGCTCTGCCACTGATTTGTTATGTGGCCTTGGCCAAGTCACTTCCCTTCCTCCTGGGGCAGCTCCCTGTCTGTGAAATGGGGATAATAAAAACAACCTCCTATGACTCCACTGTGTTTGGATCAGACTCTCTTCTGACCCGACTTCTATGATTCTGTGATGATTCTATGATGTCTGTCTTGGCATGCCCCGTTGTAACCAGGCTTGCTGGTACCCTAGGCCCGTAGAGACCCAGGTAGTGTCTGGATTTCTTCCGTAAAGTTTTAAGTGCTAGGTGTAGTGTAGACAGTTTTCTGGTGATACCAAAGTCACTGATACAGTTTTACCTCCTTTGGCCTACGCCCTTCCAGCGTGGCTGCTGTTTGGAAGGGCCATGGCTTGGGGCTGGGGGGATTAAGATGCATCTCCTCTATTAGACTGGTGGGTAAAGGTGACCTGTCCTATTCTTTGTTTTGTATGATGCTGGAGCAGCATGTAGTGTCCTGTCTTATCTGCTTTTTGTCAGTGGGGAGCCAGGGGACGTGGGCCCAGCCTTGAAGCATCCTGCAAGGACCTGTAGGAGAGGCTCTCTCTTATGTCTCTAGCAAGGTTTACCTTCCCCTGGCATTTATCCCTGGCCTCAGCCGAGTTGCTCCACCCTGGGTTGGGATGTCTCAAGCATTTCTGGCTGGTATTGCAGTTTTCCACTGGGCATCAGACCCTGGTTGCTGGGTAGTGGCGTTTCAGTGCTTGTTTGTGATATCCCCTGACCTCACCTACTGCAGGCACAGAGCAGGAGGCATCCTGGTGAGGGGTTGGATTTCATTTCAGGTGTCTTCTCTGCAGCAGCACCACCACCTTGCTCTGCCTCCCCAGTCTGGGCTTGGACAGGGAGATGCAGCATGAGGGCTGCAGCCCACAGCTCAAACAAGCTTTTCCCTGGCCTGTGAGATCCCATAGTGCTAGGTGACAGCAGGTGGAGGGAGGGTTGGGGCTGCATTTTGGGGAAGATCCTTTGCATGGATAGAGCAGTTGACAGGATGAAGCCCTGGGGTTTCTTGAGGGTGCTGTGGGGTCCCTGGCATGAGCAGGGGTTTTGTGCTGGTATGAGGGATCTGACCTCAGTGTGGTTTGCTTTCCAGACGCAGATTACACAGAGATCAAGAATGAGTTTGTGGCTTCCCGGACCGGCCTCCCCGTCATGTTCATCTCCACGCCCAGAGACCAGCGGAGCTCAGTGTGGACCAAGGAGCGGCCTTCTGCCCAGGTGAGCTAGGCTGCACCTCCCCACCCCCAGCCTGGTGCCCTGAGATGCATGGACATGGGCAGCCATGTAAGCTGCTGCTCCTTGCACTAAGGCATCCCAACCATGACCCTAGCGCTCAGGTTAGTCCATGTGATCCCGTGGCCTCAGTCAGGCCAGTGGTGGTGGAGAGCTGATCCAGTGCCAGCAGGGCAGCCCCAATGCATGGCCATTGCATTACCCACCGACTCTGCCCTCCTCAGATCCTGCAGCGCCTTCTCGTGCTGGCGCAGGCATCCCTGCGGGCCCTGGAGGAGCAGCTCCTGAACCCCCTCGGCAGCCAGGATGTGAAGGTAATCCCCAAGCGGTGTTAGTAGTGCACTGGGCTCTGGCGGGTGGCTTCCAGTAGCGGGGTGAATTAGTGGTGGGGGCTGGAGTTGGATGGGGGGATGTCTGCTGCAGAGTGGGTGACATATGGACAGCCTCAGTGCCCCCAGGTCCTGTCCAGAGGGGCTTTTGGGTGGAGGAGGTGCCAGGGTGTTGCTGGCATCCCTTCCATATACAGGGCCCATCATCCCCTGATGCCCTGCAGGTCCAGTGACTTAACCCCCAGGACAAGTGGGTATTTCCATTCAGTTGCTCCTGCTTTGCAGTTCCCATCATCTCCCTGTCTAACTTGGCAGCACTGATTGCAGGGGAATGTGCTCTCCCTGGTTTTTCTGGGCCTCCACCTTGGGCTACAGCCTGGACAGTGCCAGGCCTCTGCCCACTGACTCCCCAGTCTGGGGAAAAGGCTCCTGAGTCCCACTTTGACCTTCTGGTCACGCTGCTGTTGGGAGTTTGCCCTGTTTGCCATCTGGGGGGTGGCAGGGCTGGAGGATGAGCTGGTAGTCAGTGCATTTCGAAGGTTGGGTTGCTTGAGGTGGTATCACAAGGGGCATAGATGGGGCTGGGCTAGTGCTTTGGGAAAATAAGTCTCCCAGCAATATTTCAGACCCTGCAGGGCTTGTGGAAAGGTGGATGTGGAAGGAATGGGGTTAGCTAAGCCACACCGAGAATCCCAGCTGGCTAACTAAGGGGGAAATAGGGAAGGCAAGATGTGTTGGGTTTGGGCTTAGTTAGGAGCTGGACTTCAACCCCTGGCTGCTTTCTACCCAGCCTCACTTTTACTGCAGAAACTGTGATTGGGAACTGCGTGGCTGTGGGCAAACCCTAGGGTGACTGGGTTCCCACTGATCAAACAGGGCCAGTGCGTCTGCCTCTCGTGCGTGGACGTTGAGACTCAGCTCACTGTGTCTGCCCGGTGCCTCAAGGCCCGTGAGTGACAGGCGCCAGAGCAGTTTGGGATCTGATTGCTTTGTTTTCTTGAACTCATTTCCATCTGACAGCTGCTGGAGC